AATATAGCTGCAAATTATTTGATGATTCCAAATCGTTCAAAAAATGATACATCTGTTCCTGTATTCTAAACGTATAGACACCTTGATTGCGCTGACTTAGCTCTTTATCATAACGCACTCCGAGCGACGTGAAGGCAAACTGATTATTTATCGTTCGAATACAAGCTCTAAAAAATTGTGCCTCAGAAGTATTTGATAAAAGAAGATCCTTCAAAAGATGAGGTATCGGATGAGAGGCCAATTTTATAGTGCCTTCAGAACAACAACATTTGATGGTTTCGTAAACGATTTTTTTCGCACCGCAATACCTGCAATTAGGCTGTGTACGCAGCGCATATGCACTTGTAGGCACCCTCTCTAAAAAGCGACGACCGTCATTGGGCCTGGCAGCTAATAAATGTAAAAGTAGAATGAATTAACAAATTGAACATTCTGAAAATAAGAGCCTGAAATAAACAAATGGCAAGACATGAAAGCTACATGTGATACCTGTATTACCGCCATGACTTGTTGAACTGGGATCATGCACGCTACCACGGTGTGCGGAAACGTCCCCATCACCAGCAGTGCCATATAAAACGTTGGGAATGGGATAGTCACATGTGCGTGACAATATGGATTGCTTGTGAACACAGGGCTGCTCATCAGATGTTTCCGGATGCTTCGCACCAACACAAATTTTCGGGTATTCACATTCTGCGCAGTATGATTAACACAAATTTTTGGTAGGCCCAATAAATCAGTCCATACCACGTCTGACCAAAAATTCCAAAGCAGCAATCCAACAAGAGTAACTGACATGTACCTGATTCTACTGCACCAATGGCAGGATCTCCGCACGTGGTTTCTTGTGTACATTGATGTAGCCCAACAGGTTCAGCCAAGAAGCTCGTTGAGGCTAACAAGTCGGGTGCACCTAAAAACAAACGCAACAATTGACACACGAGAAATAAAATTCAGTTTCTTTAAACACAACAGATATCCTAAAAAAGACATGAACACATAATTACAAATAGGTGAAGCAAGAAAAAGTACGAAAAAGCTCATCAGCAAACCAAAACAACACACCAACAAACATATAAATCGTAATAACATCTATCGCTGTTGAAAATTAACCGGCAATAGGAAAGTACTACAGGCCCTAGGCATCAATTAGAATGTACCCGCACGCATGATTGAACGACACATACTTGTTGAAGATACGTCATCCGCACCTGACCTCCGTGATTTCTTAGCCACCCACCTCTGTAGAGCAGTTTCTCTTTCACGGCGGCGTGCAGGAAGTACCGGCGTGTTCTGGGCTACTCCACTAACGTGCAACGGCACATTCATGTCTGATAAGACAAAAACTAAAAAACATAAAACACAATGTGAATTTGAGAGACATTTTGAATTTCCCAAAAGCAAGAAAAGCAGTGCACATTTTATTAAAGGACAGCAACGCCCCACGATGAATTGGAATGCACCTGAACGCGTTACGGGACGACGAACACTCGTCGAAGAATTGGAAGCTGCAGCGGACAATTTAGACTTCTTTTCCCTCCACCTTTGTAAACCAGCCTCTCTCTGGCGCTTTTTTTCAGCAACATCGTTTCTTGTTTGCGATGCTCCTCCGCAGTGCAAGGGCATATCTTCATCAGCTGACATGGTACTAAAGTACGAAAAACAAAAGATCAATGTACGGTGATGCATTTCCAGCAGTAAGCATCAACAGTATAGAACAACACAAGCAAAAGAATTACAAAAACACACAGCGTGCGACAGGAAAACAAAAGAACACAACACCAGAGAAAAAAAACACGCAAACCCCGTCAATTAATAAAAAATGCCAAAAAAAACTGTCAAGTGTAAACGCACAAATTGGCCCTAAACTTCAGCTTGGTTTTAGTGCAAAATTTTCCATACCCGTTCTATTTCGTCACTGAGCGAAAAATGCCGCCGGTCGGTTTCCTCACAACAACGCAACAGTCACCCCAAAAATATTATCACGCGGCCAAAAAAAAAAAATTTGAGGGATGTATCGAGCGAGAAAGGCACAAAAAGAAGAGTCAAACAAAATCTAAACAAAATCTAGTGAAATCTAATCAGTACAGAGACGTATAAGACATAATAGAGAGAAGACGTACGACGTCCCAGATTTTTTGGGAGGAAATCACGCAAAATCTACTGCACCAAAGAAGAAGGAAGCCAAATTACTCATGTAACCCATAAAAGCAGAATAAACAGGGGCACTTCAGTCAGAAGAGCAAAATACATGAAGGAAAGGTAATTTGCACAATTGTCCATCCAAAATTGTGTCACTCTTCTTTCCAAAGAGCATACCTAAGTAATTGAGCTAAAAAGGGACACTTGTCAGGCAAACAAATTGCCACTTGTCGTCATATGGTGCCTTTTATATGTTCATACTAGTTTGACTCGGCTGTGCACGCACAGCCGACCCCAGTCCAGTCTATGATTATATTTAATAATTGTGAAAATTATAAAACAAAGAGCAAATGATTGTATTCTTTTTATCTTTATGATTGTCCGTGTGTCATGTGTGAAAATTGTCATACTAATTTTCCAGTATCAATTATTGTATACATATATTCCACCTATATGAATTTAGTGATTCCATCCGACTGAAATTCAATATATACTTGAGTTAAAATTTAGCGTCATCTGAAATGATCAGTCAATTAGTATATGCCACAAGATGTATAGAACCCAATCAAAAATTAAAATAAGCACTAAGAAACAAATATATTCACAGAACGAAACTGCAAATAAACATTAAATGTAAACATTACCATGAACATAGTAAGATCATCACATAACTTGGAAAGGAAAATCATATTCAAATGCCACAAATAGTACCTAAATGATAATTACTAATAAAATGAGAATTACTAATTGTTTCATTTGGAATAAGTGTGAACGTGAAAGAGTTCTCGACAGTGTAATTGTCATTGATGAATATCAACACTTTTACAGGGTTGAAAATAACACATAAGGACAATTACACCTTATCAATATTCCTATTTTTATTTTGTAAAACCAAAAGGAAAAAAAAAAAAAAAGGACTGAGAAGGGTTGTTGGTGGTCTGTAATATAATCTTCAAAAACTCAAAAACTTTTAATTTTTGAATACTATTACAGGAAGCCAAAGATTCTCCGCAAGCTATGCTATCACAAGACATTTTGGAACAAAATCTATATTTCTTTATCGAGGCAAATAGTATGAGTGTGGGGGAGAACAAAAAATAACTTTTTCCCTCTTTATACCTTAATCAAATGAACTCATTCTCTCTCTTTTACACCTCTACCTATAAGGCCACAGATTTAATAAACGATATAACAAAATGTATCGAATATGTCTATAGGAAATAATATCATTTACAAATGATATTTGCTTCTGAGGCTTAGTATGTCTGAGGAGAAGGCTCCTGGTCATCCTATAAAAATAAAAACAATCGTTACGCTGTTGAAAAACAAATTAAGAAAAAGAGAAGTTGTCAGTCTTCCCATGAGAATATTTACATTGGATTATTGAAGCATACTTACCCTTATTCTTATTGTAATATTTAAGCTCCAAAAAAGAAAGAAAAAAAAAAGGCAGAAATTTGATAATAGAAATACTTATAATATCAAAGAAGTAGATTATCAATCAAACTTCCTATTCAAAAAAAAAAAAGAAAAAATAATAATGGATGGATGCTATTCCAAATCTAAACCACAGTTATGATATAAGAGGCAATAGATCATAAAATAGCTCCTAGATCCAACAAAAACTGATGCAGTTGATATTCAACCTTGTCCAACTGCTACAAGTTTTATATTCAATTTCTACCTGATCCTTTTTAGTTATCTTCCATGCATTATCATCATCAAGAATCTCT